CGAAAGAATTGCATGGCTCAGTCTCTTGTGGGCCTGATATAATATTCAGCAGGTCTTGTTAACTGAGCGCTATTACGTTGTCATACCTTAACGGTTCGTAAATCCAGCCAAATTTCTACCTAACGTCCACGACGAGTAGAATAGTAAACCCAGCTAGATGATTTTAGAAAGGCTTAACTAATTACTTAAGGCCTAGAAACATGCTATTTTAACAACTTTATCTAAGATAAAGTTTTCAGCGCGGTGTGATCTAGTGCCGATACTGCCATAGATGTGCAGTTTTGAACGGTCGAAACCCATACCACAATGAAGGGTGTGAAGACTGTTAAAATAGCATTTTTAAAATAATTAACAGGTTGAGTCAGTTGGATTTCGCCGGCAATAAAGGGCCAGCCAGAGAAAACAAATAAGAGAAAATCTTGGATCGAGCTCTATATCATGCCTAACGCGGAGCGCTTCCTCAAACCAAATTGGCCTATCTCGCTTTCATAGCCCTGTGGGAATGTTATTATGCTAGACTAGACATAGCTTATTTATTTGAAATACACGTAGATCAATAAACAAGATGATCAGTTATGACTAAAATTCGCCGGTTCATATACTTATCGGCATCAATATAAACATCAGCAACGTACACACAGCAACTGCAATCTAACCGTTCTATTAGTAGAAAATTTTTCTAAAGCGGTGTATGGAAGAAGAGAACTCTTTAGCAAAAAAACAGATATTACAGTATCTGTCTATATGGTTTTTCTATCTGATTACCCATATTTTACGTCATACATTTACGCATGCCTGTATGTTTGTCTTAAGCGGGCTCACACTGAAGCCAGAAAATATTCTCTAATTGAACTCCGACGCAAACGAAGCGACATAGATTTCTCTGGTAGTCACCGTCTCCGTTAACATTAACATTACTATCATCATAGAAACCATCAAGAACGTAGTATAGTAATAACGTGCTGATGACAGTCACGCAATCGAATTATACAATGGTACCGCCCTTACGAATCTCCGGCATCTACAATAGCAGCAGTAACAACATCGCCATGTTGAAACTAGCTCAGTAAACATTATCACATGGGCATCTTTATTAAATACATGCTCGAAGGCCTGCCTCGTGTCATCGTTATTCCTATAGGGTAGCGATGCATTCGTCCATCTGTTCATTTATATAGCATCCTTTTACGGCAATGGATGCACAAGCCGGTAAAGCACGATTTGGAGAATTATGACATTTAACACGTTTCGGCATTCTGTCACCCGTATTAGACCCATATCTGCGATGATATACGATTCGTTTCTTCAAATTGATAACACGCTATGAAAAACTCGTTTATCGCATATGATGATAGTGTCATTACACCCGAACTCCTCCTTTCTATGTCGTGTGTGCACCCTAATGTATACACAATATTTGTATGTTTCTATGCTTAGCATACAACCAGTGCACGTGTGCAGTGTCACGTTGATTCTGCACAGCGCGGTCCTTCGTCGCTTGCCGTCCTATAGCTTCATATATATACACACACACACCCATCCAAGCTTCCCGTTGGAGCCATGAGCTAGAGAAACACCATCGCGATGATGGCGGCGGCTGCCGCCGCCAGAAACGGCATCAGGCGTTGACAAAATGATTTCTTGTTAGCGCGCTGTCGTCGACTATGCGACTGTTGCAATTACTGCGAGTATTACGGCCATACAATAATAGCTCTCAGTAAGGGACAGAGTGAGCCGTTCGGCGGTTCCTGCGAAACAACTTCTTTTCCATACAGCAACTTACCTCCATCCATCCGTTCATCCGTTCATCCTGTCTATTTCCCTCGGGCTACAGCCATCCGTCCATGTACAGAGGTGAGACCAATTTATCTCGATCGTTTCGAGGATGTTGCCTCTTGGCAGAATTTCGAACTAGATCCGCCCTGACACACAAGCGCATTCGCTCCCAGACGAAGACGGCGACACCGATAGCGCTAATCGCGATGAATAGGACTATTCACGAAAAAACTGACTCGGCTTTCGCCTGTGACAGCCTGCAATAGGTCTCTTAGTGCGAACTAGCACCGCTGCAAAGCCATTGCAGCTGCCAGTTATCACTACCTATGGTGGTGCCACTGTTGGTGATGCTATTGGTAAAGGCTATCATTCCGCAGTTAAGTGTTGGCCCGTCTGTACGGCATGGTAATGGTGTATTTTTGTAAAAGCCTTTTTTTTGGGAGGGCCAGCTTTGCGCAGCGGTGGTGCTTCTGTATTTCGATACCTACGGATACGATGGCTAGGAAGCATTTATTATCCAATAACGTGCGCACCCGTAAAACTCACTGGTGAACCACCCATTGACACATGCAGCCAGCAAGTCGGCCCCAGCTCTCTGCCGCATCGATGCTTAACGGTTTGACGAGCAAAATGCGACAGGGGAAAGACCCGCAAGATACCACAATTATAGTCACTCAGACATATGGGAAGTGGTCATGTTTAGAAAGATTATGCTTCGTATTTTACCGAGACGGTCGCAGGAACAAACGCCAGAGATAATTGCTAGCTTGCGCAGGGCAAGGGGGGTTCGCTAAGTACAAAAAGAACAAAACTTTTTTTTGCCACTTGCTAATACTGTGGGTATATCTATATATGTATATGTATATATAATTGTGGTAATCACTTGCAATTCAAAACTTATAATTTGTTCAAATCTACGATCATTGTTAATAACGGTACTTGCGATTGGTACAGCATTGATCTGACGGCCTTTTTCGCGTGTGTATTTACTTTAGTTTACATCATGTTGAAATCTGAGCGGTGAGTGGTCAACGGTGCGTTTCACCACACAATCTAGTAAGTGATGCAATGATACAGTCGTTTTGAAATGGTATGGCTTCAAAAAAGTAATACGAGCGAGCTGCTTTTCTTCGCGTGAAGGATTAGGCGCAAGTAACAGAAGTCATAGCTTTAGGTTGAACTCTTTCATGTGTGAGAACGAAAAGCTTCGTGATGGCGGTGAGTCCTGTATGTAGAAGAACTGCTTTAGCTGGAGAAACTCGACAAAGATCGTGTGATTTAAGCTGAAGACGACAATGTCACCCGGAGGTATCTACGGGACTTGGAAAACAATACAGACGGAAAATAGACAGGTTTATTGCCTGAGTGGAGGCTTTACCCTGTGCTACGGTAATTATCTTCGAGGGATTAGTGTTCTACCGATTCTCTCCTCCTATCGTCGTTGTTCCTCGAGCTTTCTGTTTCTCAGGCATTTCGGACAAAGCTCGTAGATCTATGGTCGGCGACGCGTGCATGGTCAAGTCAGGAGTTCTATTTGTTTGTCGATCTGACGCTATAGTTCGTGACTTGCCTCTGCTCGCGGTACGTAAACTCGTTGATAGTAATTGTGCTGGTCATATGACTGTCGAACGGCGGCCGGTCGAACTATCTGTTGTTTCAGTCGATTTTTATTCATGTTGTTGTTGTTACTGCTTTCTCTATGCGATTCGTGATTGAGAGGGGCAATCATCCATTAGCTGATTGTCGTGTACAGATTGACAACAACCCGGGCGGCCCCCAATAGGAAACGCAAAAATAGGAAATCCAATGACGAAAGTAAAGGATCGTAGCTAATCAGAATACTAGAATGGTTGAAAATTGCGGCGGAGTTGGTTGGAAACATTGCGTTTGAGCAGCAACAAGCACGTCTATCCTAAAGAGGCGATGACATGTTACACCAAGAATTACAAAAAAAAGAAAAGAAATATTGGAATGATATAAAAACAGTTAACAATGATTTTGCTAAAACAGTTGAAATACGATGTTGTCAGTCGAAGCTGTTGTGTTCTTGTTCCATTATCTTACTTACGGTATATCGTCTAAGAAACGCCGACGATCCATCAGGTCAATGATCGCAATATACTAGATCTTCATCGGCATGGCGATAACGAAGCAACGTAATTGTAAAAAATATTAGGTGAAGTTCGGAAGCATCAAAGGGTCGGGACGAGCGTTAAACCGGCACAATCAATACGAAACCAATACGTTTCCCTCGTCGGCTCTGACGGAACACAACATATTCAGTTGTAGCATAGGAACAATGCCAAGAAATGATTCCGAGACGCTGTCACAAACGCTATACTCAGGGCTCGCACAAATTCCGGTGCTATTGCCATTGCGTGGATCTACTAGATATTGTTCGTTAACAATGTTTAGTTGTTTGACCAGCATCTACAACAGGGCTTTTCGTTCTCTGAATAGTTAGAAAATTGGCAGTACACAGACAGAGATCCATCAGAACTATACCAAGCAGGCAAAGATAGTTTGTGAGAACGCAGAGCGACAACGGACTCAAAGGACGTTCTCATGAAAATGGAAAAGTCCAATGTTTTTAGAAGCTGCACGAAAAAACCAATCCCTATTCGGAATCCCGAGCTGACCTCAGTGAATATTGGCTACTTGTAGCAGAATCAGTTAATTTAGGACGTACCAATGAAGCCATGACGCTGAAGATGACAATGTCACGCGGAGAGATCAACGAGACCTGGAAAACGATACAGTCAGAAGTTAGATAGGTTTATTGCCTGAGTAGAGGCTCTACTCTGTGCTACGGTAATTGTCTTCGAGGGATTGGTGATTCAAAATATATCTCTTGCAATATTATATTTTCTCATGTCTTCATGAATTAAATTCTGCATAAAATATGACAATAACAGATCAGCCATATGTTAGTATCTACAGGTGCGTATACGCTCTATTCATCGTTCTGAGGGCAATCTTATAAGTCTCCTAGAGTACATCTAGTGAAATCGACAGGTCTTTTTGTTATCCAAAAATATAATATTTTTATACATAATATGACGACATAATATAACACGAGAACTTGGAAGTGCAGTCATAAAGGTCTTGGACCGTATAAATTTCAACGGTGTAACTCTTCTGATGAAGATGAAAAAAAATTAACGATGCAGTCATTGTATCAGACTTAAATTAACCGTATATCTGTCTATCTTTTGCTATTACAGGTTACAAAAAGGTCAACGCTGCTATAAGGTAAGAGAGCCACAATTTTCAGTACCACTTGAGTTAGTTAAATAGCCCTGTTTTTGTTTTCGTGTTTCATATATGGCTAGTGGTCAGCTCTGCGTCGTCAAATCTGCGTCAAACTAGAAAAAGATTCTTGCTCAATATTCAAAATACTATCTTAAACAATATTGGTGAGCTCTTTCGGCAATCGTGGTAGAGGTGATTTCATCTAGTTCATTTGACCAAAAGAAAAAACAACAGCAAACAAATCATCCATGTAGAAGAAGTTTCTTGAGCCTTTGTAGCAAATCCGTGACCGTATGTCGCAAAATGACGTGGGCAAAATCGTACTAAAGTTGCATCTACAAAAGTATATCGGCAGGTGAACTTCACTGAAATAATGGACAATAAATATCAGACACAAATTTGCCCTGTTTGCTTCTTTTTGATGAGATTGCTCACGAAAATCCACCAGATCGGCCCAGTGTCTATCGCATAACATCATGCCATACCGCAAGCATGAGCAAACATGTAGCCATATCGTGACGCAGTCACCTGTGAGGTCATCTGGGCTGTAACAAGAAGATTCCGAGAAGCAAATCGCCACAAACTCTAACGAAACATCAGAAGAAACAAACTGAAGGATAACAGGCGACATGGCAGGTTTGAAAGGACAACGTACTGAGTTTGTCGTGAGTGCCCCCCGGTAAAAACCGCAGACAACGCATTGTCGGCCGGAGCGCAATATAGAAGTTTATACCATATAGAAGCTAATGCTGCTGCTCTGTTGTCGCGGTCGCACATATGGTATTTGTCATTTGCCTTATCGTGAATCAATAGATGGCGCTTTTAGATAAGAGGGCAAATTACTTGCCAATAATCCATCAATCCGATTCTGCGGTGCGCTTCATCTCTTCCTTTTACCATCCTTTTTCTTCCTTTTTAATTCGCCGCCTGTCCTGAACATCTTTTAAAACTTTGCCTTCTCGTAGCGCAGTTCGGGTGGCGTCATTTCGCCAAGCAACACCACTGTGGATGCTTCCTTCATATTCACTGGACTTTGTATACCTCCAGCCGCTTTCTTTCGTATATCTTTCGTCGCTTCGTATATATTCTCGCTTGACAACCTACTCCTTTGGCAACTTACAAATGACGGGACGGTGGTGGCGGCAACGATGGCATCAGCCATCAAGTTCTGCAATATCATTGCTTCGAGGCGATACTAGTCGTTCGCTGTCCCCCGGCCGACCTTTCTTCCCACACTAGTGACAAAATCAATACAGAACCAACTCTTTTCACTGTTTATTTTCTTTTCTAGATAGAAAGACGCAAAACATCATAGAAGAGGAATGAGCGATTTCGCTCTTTGTGCAGTCTGCAGTCCCGATTCTACTGGTGCTCCGTAACGAGGCCGTTGCTAGTGCTGCTGCTGCCACAGCAGGTTTCACTGAGATATCAATGGCAGTCATTGTCCTTGTTTGCCTGGCCTTCATTATATTGTCTTGCTTGCTTGTCGGCTTTCCGCTTTCCTGCAAACAACGAGGAGCCAAGGTCACCAACAAGTCAGGACGATACCGAGTTCCATCTTTGCTCTCCTCACCGCTTTTTCTAGGTTCTCTCTATTTTTGTCGCCTTTGTTGCCGTACGCGCGTCACCTACGTACGTTGCTCACGAAGCACGTCACCGCCTTGTGGCCAACGACAGCGGTAAGAAAAGATCGCTCCATGCTCGAGGAGAGGAATTTTGGCGGCCGGCTTGCTTCAAGCTACTGCTGAAAGCAGTTGACTGTCTTCTGCATCTTTGTATGTGCCTGTCTGCGCGCTGGCAGTTGGTAAAGCATCAGACAAAATCCAGAAAGGCTAAATAAGCAAGAAGGACCTATGCAAAAAATCGGCCACAAAGGCTACCGCGATAAGCAGGTTTGAACCCTCATGGAACCCTATGGCGCATCACAGGAGATACCTGACATTGCTATCTCTGGTGTACCACAGTTTCTTCTATATGATAGTGTTAGGTGTTGTCATAATCGCGTTACGTTATAAGAATTCCATTGCGACAACGTGACAGGACTGACAGTTAGCGGCCGTTACGCAAATATTCTCGGTTAGCTACATTGTGCCAGGATATCTGTTTTCAGCCGCGTTTCACGAGAGGCTCATTCGCTTTTTCCTATTGAGCAAAAGTGAAAGGATATGATAGCACAGGACGAGAAGTAGTCCACAGTAGTAGCGATGTGTCTTGGCCTGACAGCATAAAAGGGGAGAAATTAATTTGGGTAGGACGAAATCCGGGCAGATATGGGTTCTCTCGGCTGGGGGTGCCGACCACTAGGATGCCGCCCTATACTACGGGTTGTAATCGACGATTGCCCATGCCCGTTTCCGAAGCAAACTAACCCTCACAAAATCAACCCTTTGCGAAACTGCTTTGGCTGCAACTCGTCGTCGAAATCACTGCCCAACTCAACTAGCCCAGGTCAGTAAGTAACAGACGGGAAAATAGTGGCTTTACAGCTGGCTTGTCTCTTTCTTTCTGCCGTTGGATGTCTTCAAGAGACACGTATGACGAGTAGTTGGCCTAGAGGTGACAAGTGAACAGACAGACGACCACAAAAGAATATACTCACCGGGCGAGAAGGCGATCTTTCTCCATCCGTCCTCGATCTTCGGATCTCTTTGGCGGTGTCCTCTCATAGCACTGAGTGAGTCTTCCGATGGATGGCAGGCAGGCGGGTAGCACACGGCAATGAGTTTAACGCCCTGCTGCTGGTTCAATCGATGGTACGGAAGGCATACACACACACATTCACAGATACTACTAGATCGTCGTCGTGGCCGTCGTAGGAGTCGGAATGGGAATAGTAGACAGAGTTGGCCTGCCATCGATCGCGGTAATGTAGTCATGTCACACTGTTTTTCGTGCGATCTCGTAACGGCTGTTAGCCACCGGTTAGTGGCTGGACTTAGGTAACTAATGGTTGTGGTGTCTACGTCAATTCGATGAATGCAAGCTAAAGCCGCAACCGATCCAGCCGGGCTAAGTCGACAGACTGCGCTGCCGGAGAATTGCAGATCTGTTCCTCGTCAATCTTTCCCTTTCTGTCCAGCCAAAGTTGGCCGAAGAGGATACCTGCAGCTAAAGTTTTGTCCACGTATTGTTTCTGAGCAAACTAGACAGATGACAACTTATGCTGCCTTGGCTACTACAGCTGATATAGAGTACTGCGATGGCAGGTGACCAATCCCGTACAGATGCGAAGGAAGCCATTAATCTTTGGCAGCAAAAGATTAGATCAAGACTGGCAGGGCTTTGGATACCTGTTTCTTAGTCCTGTAACAGCGAAAGGATCAGATCGTTCGCGCTGAAACATTGCCGATATGTCAGCAGCGTATTCGCATACGTGCGAAGTTTGTTTTTAGAAAGGGTCTGGCTACGCTTACGGTGTGAACCTTACACGATTACCTTTTTAGCATTGCATCAAAAACTTGCCCCCTATAGAAAAGGTTTAGAGGGGGCGGGGTGTGCTGGGCTTATTTTTTCAATCGATCTATGAAGCAGCATAGCAACGACGTCAAAAAACGCTATAATTTAAACTAACGATGGCCGCACGTTCATGGTCACCGTGACAATCACTAAAAGGTACTCCCAGTAACCGCCTCGCTACTTCAGTCTCTTTTTTACTCAGAACAAACTACTCTTTTTTAGAATTTCCTATTCCACCTGCTATGAAGAGCAATGCAAAAATTTAGAAATGAAACTAAAGTTTCATTTCTAAATTGTTTTCCTTTCATATATGGATAGTCTCCCCTTGGGCTGACCTTCGTTCCTGATACTGCTGTAATTCCAAATGTCGAGTTAGTAGGGGAAAGCGGAAGCTATATTCTTGCTCGGTTGACATCTACGTAAGTCACTAATTTTAACGTTGGCGACCAACCATGAAAACACCTGTGAATCAACAATTGTCAGGACGACTGTGTCTGTTTTGCAAGCAGATGCGTAGGTTCATGTATGCTTGTAAAGACGCATGTATACATATACTGAACCGAACTGTATGTGTCCATGTAACTATAAGTTCAACGTAGAATAAATGCGGCATCAATCTACGTCGACGGAGTCGCGTGCGATGCGTCTATGCCAACTATCCGGTGGAAACGCGCAGGTGAATCGTTTCATGTGACAGGGGATAAGAAAGGAGTGAATCGATGGGGTATTCTGGGAACGGCCGCCCTAGGAAACGCTGCTCGAATAGGCCACCGACAATCCCACAAGGATTACGGCTAAAGCCGACGTGCGTCACTATTATTATACACCATAGTATTAGCAGTAGTAGTTGTCGTTAATTCCGTAAGGTGACAATATGTAAATGCAATATGCGAGAAGCAATACGCATTAGAGACCTATAGATGTTACGGTTAGTTCCCGATAGCAAGCTTAGACGTTCTCTTGTAAACTCTGTCGCCACTGCTGCGCAGCGATAGTAAGTCATACTACGAGCGGAGCTGAAGCAAAGGCCCAGCCGGTGTTCAAGCCGAAAATTTGTTAGGTAAGTTTGGGAATTGAGGCTGAACGCTGCTGGTCTGCAACCTAAGTTGCCTGAGCTACGTACGACAAGCCTGAAAGCTGAAAGACCCTTCAGCCTGCCCGACGGTGGCAATCCCGAGCTAGCCTAGTCGCCTGACTGGTGCTGATTTTGGCCTGCTTCGACCTAAGATGCAGGCAGGTTTGTATCGTCGAATTGCACAGCTAAGCGAGTATGGTAGCTTTGCATGCTTCTGCTCCTTCTGCCTACGGTAGCAGCAATGGCAGCGTTAAGGGTGGCAACGGTGGCCAGGTTGGTTCAGTTTCCAATATGGCCCGTGCCCCGTTCTCTGCTCTAACTTCCTGCTAAGGAAATTTCCCCATAGAGTTGTTCTTGTGTAAATAATTGACCGACGCTTGCTCCCTATACACACTACCATCGCCAACCATGCTCTACTACTGCTATCACCAAAGTCGAGTTGCTGGGCGGTAACGCCTGCCTGTCTGCT